ATAATAACCAATTAAGGGTTCGTTTGTTAACCTAGACAAGATAGGACAATTTTTATTTCGAGTTTCAAGATTAAATTGTGGAGATCGAATATGTTGTGCATTTGATGTCTATGACAGTTCCGAGACAAGATTTCATTTTTTCAAGGTTTAGAAAATCAATATATTTTAAAATTATCATAATTATTAATAATATTGAAGGAACTCCCTCCTCTTGACTGATTCTCACTTTCCCCAATTGTTTAAACCCTAATTAAAGAAGTGTTCCCCCCTTTCGTCAGGTAACGGTGTTGTAAAGAATCAGTTTCCAGCGAACTAACTAAAAACCAGTCAACGATCGGTTGAATCGGTCGAAATCAGTCAAAATCAACTAATCAAATCGGTTTTCAACCAGTCCAATGTTTTTAAAAATTAATTTAATGTATTTAAAATATTTTTTTATATTAATAAATAATACATATGTAACTATAGTGTGTAACATTTGAATGATTCAAATTGACATAATATTTAATTAACAAATTTTTGTATATAACAAGTTTTATTATAAACAATATTATGCAATATACCTTACAATAACATAAAATTATTAAAATGCCATTAAGATAAATAAAAGAAAAAAGCAATTTCACTTTAACCCAAAAACAAATATATTCATCTCCTTCGGTCCTTCCCATCTCCTTCGGTCCTTCCCAACATCTCGACAGTACCCCCAAATCGCAGAACAATGTCAATTTGCAGCTCACTAATTCGACCTAGCAAATGCCCAAAAATCTCGACACAAATAATCTCAATTTCGATCCCATCTCCCAATTTCAACCCAAAAGTACATCAATTTCTTGAGGGAATAAGAATAGAATCCTCCGCCAAGATTGATGATGTCTTCCACCTGGTGCTCGAAGTCGTCGGCGAGGACGAGGACGGAGGCGGCGGTCGTGCGTTATACAAAGGTCTACGAGGCAGCGGAGGGTGAGGTTTGGAAGTGAAGCGAGTGGACGACCGAGTCTGCATCTTGGAGGAGCAGGTGTTGTGGCCGAGGGACAGACACTTCTCGATGGAGGTCAGGTCGTCGGTCACGCCGGTGCAGAGGCTCGGCACGCCTATGGTGATCGGGCACCACAGATTCGGGTTCATTTTATGCTCATATCAATCATCCCTATTTTTCGGTTTTTTGTTAAAAACTTTAGCTTAACTAAGGGTATTAGGGTTAACTTTGGCCAATCTTATTCAATAAAACATTGGCGGCGAAAATTTTTGATTTGGCGCTCACTGCCTCGTTTCATTTTGGTACTCTTATCTATTTACGGTAGATAAGACTGGATTAAATGTGATCGTATCTTCTGCTAATATCTCTCCTCTCCCTCTCACTCATATAAGTTCAATATTACGCAAACAATTAACAAAGTTATAGCCCGCCTTCTCTTTTGCATCAGTGTGTTCTTGAGGAACTCGAGGTCTGCAGACTCTAGATTTATCTTGCTTCTTTATGTTTACAGATTTTTTTACCCAATAGTAGATTGTTTGGCTGTGCCTTATATTAATTTTGAATAAATATATACTTGGCTACTGTTATTCAAGTTTTTCATTCTTTTTGGATGGTTTGTTTTTGCCCCAAACTTTGATGTTTTTTTTTTTTTTTGCCTCGTACAGATTGTTTCAGATGGCTCCGGGATTAGTTCGGAATCCAAAACCAAGAATCATACCAAATAATTCTCGGCAGAGTCTCAAAGAACACCTGACAAAGACAAAGACAGGAGGTTTAACAAAGAGTAACACCCGAAAAACTGATATGGCATCCGACAAAGTGAACAAGGGTTTGCCAATAACTGATGGTTATACGAAGCGAAAATGCGAATCCGACGTTCGAGGGAAACATGGAAACTATTCAGCCTCAGCCTCCTCAAACTCAGCAAAAGGAGAGTACTCTTATGCCAGAAGTTCAGACTCCACAAACTCGGCAAAATGATTTGCAAAATCAAAGTCAGCCACATGGAAGCACTTTTGATCCTTCATCACACCAGGGAAATCAACATCCTCAATCACCTCAGGCCGATATCATTGGTACGTATCTAATACGCCGAAACCATTGTTATTTTACAGTTCTAAAAACATGCTAAGCATGCTGTAGGAACAGAAATCATTGGTATGGATTTTGATTTCTTGATTTTTTAGTTTTTTCTTCGAACCAGTACCCATTATTTCCTCTATTGTATTCTTGGCTCCTTCAGTAGTAACATGTTGGATTAGCAGTGCAGAGCTTGGGTCCTTTGATTTTTATCAGCTGGGTATTTCTTCTGATTGGTGGAGTTATGTTTAGCTATGTTCTCTCAGTCTTTGTTATCCCTGTTGGTGTGTTAGTTGCCTTTAGCATCGTGTTGTTGTGTCTGTCATCTTGTTTTTTTAGCTTTGGTTTTTCTTTTTAAGGTGTTATGACAAAATTAAACTTTGAACTATTTTTCCTGGTACTTTTTTTTTGTCTTTGCTGTGGGTTTGAGAAGCAAGGTTTGTTTGTTTATTATTATTTTTTTTAATCTGCTGCGGACTTTGTTTGTAATCTGAGCTGTTATGTCATCTTGTTTAGATCTGACAATTCCGTGCTTGAAAACTCCTTAGAGGTATGCAATTCACAACTTATCTTGATCGTGTTATGTGGCATCAGATATCCCTGTTTGTATTTATTTATTGTTATTTTTTTGGAAGGCAAACAGAATGAATATGAAAGTTTGAAATGCAAATGATTTTTGGTTTGCATGTGAAATGGCATCTGTGCTGTGTGCACTATTGTGTTCAGTGGCATATTTCTGTAATAATCATTGGTGATAGATCTCTTACTCTTTGCACATCTATGTCGTCATTATTTACTGATGGAATTTATATCAACAGTTAACAGATTAGTATATATATTTTGTTTCTATCTATCAGCTGCCAATTCGTTACCTGCATGACTGGTATATATTTTTGCTTCTATCTATCAGCATACCAACTTGTGAGCTTGTTACTGAGAGGGGAGGACATAGAGAAAAGTCGTACTAATTTCCTACTGGAGTTGTTATTAATAATTGCAACCCATATTTCAACGTCTAAGTGGTGAGCAAAACCAGAATTGTTATTACTGAGCAGTTCAAATGTCTATAAAAAACTAATCATTTTTATATTAATTTATTATATACAGTATAAACTAAAAAATGATGTTATGTACTCGATTTTTAAACATGTCAAAATATCTGAATGTGCAGGAAATAGAATGTGTTTGTGTGTGTTGGTATATATACAAGTATATTAGTTAAACCAATTTTTTGTTGAATTGATCAAACCACTCCATTATTATAAAGGGAAGTGTAGATGGTTATAGCATTGAATTGATCAAACCACTCCAGTATTGAATATGGACACAATTTTTTGTTGCTCATTTCTTTCTTACATTGTACTAGTTTTTTGTTAAGAATTTGCATCGATAATTTACTTGTTGGTTTAGAAGATATCTCTGTTTTTAATGTGGTTTGTCAATTTGTAGTATGAAAATTTATCGTGTAGCATTCTTTGGTTAAGTTATTTGCTAGCTGTTGATAAATATGTCATTGAATCTACTTTGGAACTCCAGTGACAAGTATAATATAAAAAACATGCATGTTCTATTCTATATGTATACATGTGCCTTTGCCTTTCACAGTGTTTTGATAAAATACACTCTTATGAGTAGGAAGCTTTCGACTAATTAAAATAACCATCATACTTATTGAGTGGTGAACATGCAGCTTCCAATACCACCAATACCACCAGTAAGAAAAGGCGTGGACAAACAATGGGCAAAGGTATTATGAAGGCATTTCAGGCTTGTGGTAAAAAAATGAAGATAACTGTGGATCCATCGATAGGAAGACCTAAAAGGAGAGACGAGTCTTCAAAATTTTCTAGTCAAATTGGTGTAGTCACTCGAGATGTCCTTCCGGTGCCAATAAGGTGGAAAGATGTTGATGAAGAAAAAGATCTTCAACCTGCCATTGATCATATGAAGGTAAAAATTAGAAACACTTTTCAAGTTGCATGGATACATTTTTATATCACCTTAAATGATATCATTTTTATTTGTGTAGATCCACATGGATATTAACTTGGATGATCCGGGTGTGAAACGTTGCGTGATTGATAGAGTCCAAGCTAGTTCACGACAAAAACGTTACAAATTACACCAACATTATAAGAAATATTCTTCTCATGAAGAGGCTAAGAATAACAAGCCGTCTTTTTGTGCTAGTCAAGAAAACTGGGAAGATATGTGTGAGCTTTTTGCATCGCCTAAATTCAAGGTAATGCATTATAACTTTATTCTTCTATTTGCATATTAAATTTGTAGTTTTCTAGTGTTTAATAATAGAATCTATGTTTTCGTAGCACCAAAGTGCGATTAATGGGATGAATCGACAAATGCTGTGCGCTCCACATGTTTCGGGCCGAACACCTTTTACTGTTCTTCAACATGAAATAGTAAGTTTATGTTTAAGATATTAATTTATTTATGATCATTAGTTTTTTTTTTCAAAAATTTTAAACTATTTCTGTTTATTGTTAAAAAAATCTTGTAGTCTGAGAAGGAGATGAATGGAGGACCACTAGATATGATTGAACTTTATAAGCGTACGCATTATAAGGAAAAAGGTGGTTGGTCAACAAAAGAGGCAGAAGAAAACTGGGTAAGTTGAATGCACAATCTCTTATTCTAATTGTTGAAATGAATATCAATATGATTATATAATTTTTATGCTAATTGTCAGGACTTGATGATATCAAGGAGAGAAAAATATTCTGAACAAGGCACTGAGAAGAGTGCACAAGATATACTTCTTGAGGTTCTTGGCCATGGAGCTGGATATATAAAAGGTTATGGGTATGGCCCGAGGCCGCCAAGTAGACGCAAAGCATATGACTCGAACGGCCAGAAGGAACTTATAGAGACACAAGAAAAGTTGCGTGGAAAAGAATCTGAAGTGCTTGAGCTTAAGGACCAAGTTAGTGATTTGAAAGATCAACTAAGTCAACAAGGTGCAAAAGTCGACAAACTTATGGCTTTCATGGCAGCCACTGGGATCGAAATCTGAGATTGTTAGGCTTTGTTATTATTATTATTATTTTATTTGGCACATTTTGAGATTGTTAGTTACTTTATATTTGTTTTTAATTAGTAAAATTACTATTATTGTCGTTTTTTTTATTTATCATCTTGAACATAATACCATCATATATTAATTATAAAGATTTTGTCACTGTAATTCTTTTTAATGACGTAAATGTTTAGAGTGACGATAGATTTTGTCACTGTATCATATATTTCATGACAAATAGATATATCACTAAATATCTGCAATTAATGACAATTATTATATTTGTAATAGTGACAAATTTTAAATTGTCATTGAAAATAATTTTTTTTTGACAACATGTAGTCGTGATGTATTTGTTTGGATTTGTCACCATATAAAATGTTAAAATGACAATATCTTTTGTCACTAAATATTTACCTTTTCATGACAACTTATGTTGTCATTATATCTCAAGCTTTTGATGACAATCATTTTTTTCGTAATCATAAAGCTAATATTTCATGACAAAAGATTTCGTCGCTTTTATATGTTTTTTGAGACGAATAATATTTCGTCACTACTTCTATTCTTTTGTGACACTTTTGTTATCGTCATATTTACAATTTCTTTTTATGACGACCAATATTTTGTAATTATAGAACAATTTTTTTATGACGAATTCTATGAAATATGACGATTATGTTAAAGAAAACGCCACAAATATATTCGTCACTGAAATTTTATAAATTCGATAAAAAAATAAAATTCGTCACTAAACAATAATATTTAGATGACGAATGTAAGTTTTCGTCATTTAAAACTTGTCTTTTTATGACAAAATAATTGTTTATATGACAAATTTGTCATATTAAACGTGACGAAATGTGTTGTCACGAAAAGTGACCAAATAACATGACGAAACTTAAAAACGTCATTAAAAGTGAAACATTTGGTGACAAATTCGAAATTTGTCACTTATACCTAATATGACGCGGCTACGGTGACGATCGCTGTGACGATAAAATTTCGTCATCATTGTACTTTTGTGACGAAAAACAAGTTTTACATGACGAATTTTTTCGTCATGTTTTGCGAAATTTCTTGTAGTGTTGGTTGGTGGGTTTGTGGGTAGGCTCAAACCCGAGCTGGCCGCAGAGGTTCGAGTAGGCCGACCGAGGTCGATGCGAGCTGCCATGGAGTCAGCACGAATGCGCGAGGACCACCTGGCTGTGGTCTGCGAGACGAGCCGAGGAGACGGACACACAGAGACGCGGCGCGCAAGCGCAGTCCCCGATCTACCACCACAGGCCGAGAGCGTGAGGGTTACCGAGGTGGCACGACCACCGAATTACATGCGGCGTCTAAGTCCTGATGAGATGCAGAAGCGGCGCGAGAAGGGTCTATGCTTCTCGTGCAATGAGCCATTCTCGCCTGGACACCGATGCAAAGGTAAAGAGGTTTACCTACTCGATACATGCGAGCCTGAGGGAGAACGTGACGATGGAGGACACTTGTACTTAAACCCGCAAGTGGAGATGCTGCACATGGTCAAGGCCGAAAAAGGACCTAAGATGAAGGTCACAAATGGTGAAGAGTTGTGGAGTTCGGAGCTATACAAAAAGGTGCCAATACAAGTACAAGGAGAAGAGCTGAAGGAAGACTTATTCGCGCTAGAACTTGAAGGACCGGATGTGGTACTGGGGGTCCAATGGTTGGAAACTCTAGGGCCCGTAACTACAAATTTTAAGAAAGGCACAATGGAGTTCGAATGGGCCAAGAAAAGGATCAAGCTATGCACTAGTGAAGAAGGAACTGAGCCGGTCGAATTGAAGAGTCTTCAATTCATTCTCCTTGAGGACAAGGTCAAACTCAAAGGGGGATGGAATGATGAGGATGTGGTCATTGACCCATCC